GGCAAGGAAGGATTTTCTCTTCCAGGTTTCACAGGGAGTACATCCCTGCCAACAAGCTGATTTTGAACTTCAGGTTTCCAGAACAATGAGATGATAAATTTCTCTTGTTTTTAAGTCACCTAGTTTGTAGTGGTTTATTACGGCAGGCCTAGGAAACTAATACACTATTCTTGGGGAGTAATAGGTATAAATAAAGACATATGTTTAAGGATACTCATCATCGAATTATTTATAATTATGAAAATTTAGAGATGACCAGAATGTATAACAATAGTAGAATCATTAAGTGAAATATATTTATAAAGTAGAATACTATGGTGCCAATAAAAATAATATTTTTGAAAATCTCGGTAAATATTTCACAATATAATAGTAAGTGAGAAAAGGCAGGAAATAACACTACATATACCATGTGATTCAAACTTTATTTTAAAAATCATAAATTGTATACTTATAGAAAAAATCTGGTGGTAAATATTTTGAATACTCTAAATAATCTAAGAGTGGTTAGATTTTTTTCTATAATTTTCTATAGTCATCACAGCAAAGTATAGATATTAGAAAGAAAGAAGAGACATAGCATATATAATTTTGATAATCTCAGGGACAAAAATACAGAGAACAAAAAATAAAAAAATAAAGGAATTTTACATGTATCCAATTTATACTATTTCTTCACACAGCTGAGACTTGCTTTACCTTTGAAATGCAGTCTACTTCTAGAGCAGAAGGCGGCAACCATTTAATTCAGCCTCAAGCCTTGTTCCTTCATATAGAACCAAAGGTAGAGGCTATTGATTTCTCATATTTTCTTTTTATTATTGCCTTATTATTGCCTACACAGCCCGTGAAAAAGCACTTAGAAGAGTCTAACGAGAGCCAGAAGATATTTTTTTCTTGCTTGAAATGCTGTTATACTTAAGGATAATCTCTGTGTGACCCCAAGTGCCTAGCGAGGAGTGAAGCCTCACAGACCTACAGGAGAGACAAGAAGGGCCATGAGATGTGGTGCCATAGCTGCAAGTGCCATGAACACTAATCCAAGGCCAATATCACACAGCTAAAGGCCCCGCGTAACTACGTGAATGTCACATTCCTTCATCTCACTGCAACTTCTTCTCCAAGGAGTGATAAAATCCAAGAACTAACCCTCTCTCTCTCTCCCCTTTTTTCCTGGTTCAAATGATCTCAAAATATGAAAATATTCTTTACCTACAGATGTGCACTTTTAAGAAGATAATTCATCCATGAAAGCAACATAAGCTAATAGAAACTTATTCCTCATAATTAAGCAAACTTTAAAACAGGTTGTGGGTTATAGTAAAGGCCAGTTTTTGCATTGTCTGTGGCATTGTAAATTGGTACAATCTTTTGGGAATAAACATGACAGTAAATATTAAGAGCCTTAAGGAAAACAAGAAAGAGAAAAAGAGTAAGAATAGCAACAATGGTAATTTGTCTATTTACCAGGATCTATACCATACCATGTACTTGGCATACACAATCTGGCTTAATCATTACAGTCTCCAGAGGATCAAGGTCTTAAGCAAATCACTCAAATCACGTAGGTAATAACCAGCAAAACTGAGTTTTGCATCCAGATTGTCTAATTTAAAATTCTGTTTTCTTGTCCACTCTGCTATGCTTACCATATATTTGTTCATACTCTTTGACCCTAGAATCTGACTCCTGGAAAGGTATCCTAAGGAAACACTGTAACTAAAAAAACCTACTATATTTCAATGTTGGGTAGGGGGAAAAAATTGAAACAAAATAATTGTTTAACAATAGAAGAATGGCTACAATACGCTTCACCTACATTATGGAATATCACGTAGACACTTAAAAAGATAATGGAGACTCTAGGAATATGAAAAAAATTTCAGATATGACATTCATTGAAAAAAGATGAATATGAAGTGGTTATTTCATCAATTACAACATAAAAATATGTATGCGTAGGAATGCACTTGAAAGTAGCCGTGGATTGTAGTTGTAATAGCCTTGGCTGCATTTTTTTCCCTCAAAATTGCTCTTAGTTTAAAAAAATGATCTGCAATGAACAATTTTATGACATAGTCCCCTTCTCAAAACACTGGGCCCAGTTTAGTTTCTTTTTCTATCTGCACCTCTTCTCCTCAGAACAGCCTACCATTTACCATTTGCTTCTGTTCAGCTCTACAAGCATGAGCTCTTGCCATTCATATGTATGTGTCCAAGGTTGGCCCAAATTGAAACTGCACATTTACAGAAATCACTTCACCATTTCTTCTGTCTCTTCAGTGATCAGTAGTGCTGAGTCGCACATTTTATTGAAGAATTTGTCCTCTTTTTTCTCAAACAGTGTCTTCCTCCTTACCCCATTATAACAGTATTCCTTTGAGCACTGCTGAATCTTTATAAATCTGTACAGATATTGGCCACAGGGCTTCTCAACCTCAGCATTATTGACATACCAGTTTGGATAATTCTTTGTTGTATGTGTTCTGTGCATTATAGGATGTTTAGTAGCATTCCTGGCCTCTTCTTACTAGATGTCAGCAGCATCGCTTCCCAAGTGTGACAACCAAAGACATGTCCAGATATTGTCAAATG